TTCTCGTTTACAGCCTTTTTACTATGGCTTCTTAAGCGTATTTTTATCTCTCTAGAATCTTTTGATCTTTTATTTTACTGAGTCCAAAGTACACTTTTGTGGATATCCTGTTTTACAGCGCTATTCTGGTTTAATATAGAGAGGAACTTTCTTTAATGCTTATATACCTTACGTTTCGGTTTTTTTTCTTTTTCTTGTCGATAACTTATTCCATTTTCTATCATACTTATTTCTGTAAAATAATGCTGTGCGTCCGTTTCGCTGTCTGTCTTTTTTTGAATTGATTTCGAATTATATTTGTATTTTTTCTTCACTACAGAATTTTTTCATAGAGTAGAAATTAAGTAAATATAGTAAATTTACCTAAACTATTTTTCTTTTCTAGTCTTATTTTATACATTATAATTATATCTTATCCTGACCAATTTTCTGAGTTTATATATCTATTCATGTAATCTGCTCATCTATATTTGTTTGCAGCCGATTGTGTATACTATAATCTTTCGATACTATTTCCTCTCCTGATATACCATTATCTATACATTTCTTACTAAGATAAGGGAAAACATAGATAGGTAGCGGTTAGTTGTTCAAGAGAACGGCGAGCCAGTACACTAATGCTAGTATTAGTTCAGCATAGGAGGTCATGTACCGGTTGGCACAAAATAAACAAAAACAACACACACGGGTTATAAACACATACTTGTTATCTTGCAGAGACAATTACAATACACGCGTATTACGAGAATCGCAAAATTCGTCTCTCTCTGTCTCTCTCTCTTCTCCTCCCGCCTTCTTGCCTGTTGTTTGGCTGGGGGGCGGGGTCTTCTGCTCGCTCTGCGGTCCTCGTCTTTCGCTCTCTAGCCTCTGCGGCTACGGGGGGTGCTGTGGGCTGGCCGGGCTGCGTATCCTGGGGTTAGGGGTCGGCTCCGGGGTTATCTGGTGGGGTCCCTTCGTGTCTTTCTCGTGCTCTATGTCGCTCTTGCGTGCGTCTCTCTCTCTCTCGGCTCAGCGCGGGGGTAACCTATGTTCCTCGGCTTATTGTCTGCATGTTCTTTGTGCTTTCTATCATTTCGTTCTTTCTTTTCCTCCTATCTTCTTTCCTCTTCCTCTCTCTTTTCTCCTTCGCTCTCTTCTCTTCCTCTTCGTTCTCTCGCTCTCCTTATCTTCTCTTCTATCTTCTTGTTTTTCTTCCTCTTCTGTCTTTTCCTTCTCTTCGTCTCCTTCTTCTCTCTCTCTCTCGGCGGGTTCTCTCTTTCTCTTCTCTCTCTCTTCTCTCCTCCTCTCCTATATATATATATAGTATTATAATATAATAATATATTATATATACTATTACTTATTATATTAATATATATATAATATTGCATACATACTACTTACCTTTATCCTTATTATAATATTATCCTGTTATTATGATAATTTATATTATTGGTCTTTCATTCTCTCCTGTTTTGCTATTTATGTGTGTGTCCCTGTTGTGTCATCACTCTATTACTTATCATATTATTCTCCTCCATCATACATATTGCATGTATGTGGTATATATATATACTAGTACTTATATATATATATACGCTTACTATATCCCTTGACTTTAACCGTTTTTTATTATTTTCCTCTTTAGTGCAGGTCCGTACAGTCATATACTGTTGTCATTGTTGCTGTTTATTATCCGTTGTATTATTTTTTTTTTTGTATGACGGCATCCGCTGCTGCTCGCATCCGTATAACGGTGTATCCCCATTATAGTCTGAAGGTACGCCTTCCTGGCCTTGTCTGTTGTTCGCGGTTCCTTCGGTGTCGTCTGTGTGTGTGCTGTGTGTGTGTGTGTCGTCTCGCCGTGTCGGTGCTCGTGTATGTGTAGTGTGTGTGTTGTGTGTGTGTGTGGTGTGTGTGGTGTGTGTGTGTGTGTGTGGTGTGGTGGATGCATAATATACCTCATATATTACTCACCTGACAATATGTGTGTGTGTGTGTTAACACCCCTTTTCCCTCTTCCCCAGGCAGGCCTCCGTGTCTGGCAGTTGGTGTTCAACCGGTGGTCATGCGTGCGGTTTGTCATCATGTCAGATCCTGCTCGGTAGGCGGCACCCTCGCTGGGAGGATCGGTCCGGCGTGTTGGCATTTTCAGAGGCACTGGTTGTCCGTTCGCTTGCTCTCCCGTGGTGTGTGCGTTCGGGGGTGCCAGTCCGTACTTTGTCCCTCTTCGGGCGGTCAGGCTGTGTTTTCGCGCTTT